TTGGCTCAATGGATAGAGCATCAGCTGCAGACTGAAGGGTCCTGAGTTTGACTCCAGTCAAGGGCACATGCCCGGGTTGCAGGCTCCATCCCCAACAGGGGCTGTGCCGGAGGCAGCCAATCAATGATTCTCTCTCATCATTGATGTTTCTCTCTCTCCCCCTCTCCCTTCCTCTCTGAAATCAATACATATTTTTAAAAAGCAACACACAGAATGGCAGAAAATATTTGCAGATCATAGCTGATAAAGAATTGATATCCAGAATATACAAAGAACTCCTATAATTCAACAGCAAAAACACAAATATTATAATCCAATTCAAACATGAGCAAAGGATTTGAACAGATATGTCCCCAAAGAAGATATACACCGGGCCAGTAAATGAACTAAAAGATTATCAACATCATCAATCATCCAAGGTAAAGCAAATCAAAACATGAGATACCACTTCACACATATAAAGACAGTGATTATTTAAAAAACCAACAGAAAAATAATAACTGTTGACAATTATGTGGAAAAATTGGAACCCTTGTGCATTGCTGACAGAAATGTAAAATAGTACAGCTGCAATGGAAAATGGTATGGCATGTATTCAAAAAATTAAACACACAACAGATTACAACAACAAAACATCATCTGTTCTATGAATTTTGGTAAAATCTGTAAGAGCAAGTGAAATTCATTCTTAACAGTACTGTTCAATAACTGACAGATTTAGGTGTTTTCTTTTAAAAAAAAATATATATATATATTGATTGATTTCAGAGAGAGGGAGAGGGAGAGAGAGAGAAACATCAAGGATGAGAACCACCAATTGGCTGCCTCCTGTAACATTAGTTCTGCCAATCCCCACTTAAGGTTACACTAAATTAGTGATTTCGCACCTTTAAAAATATTATCACCTGTAGTGGTTCTACGCAAACTGTTCAGAGGCCAATTCTTTAATCTTCAAACTTCGCATTGAGCCCTGGATAAACAACTGATCAAGTGCCAAGGAAAACTATTCAAAATGGTTTGCCCTGTTTTTAATTAACTATTGGTATTGTTTTCAATGTTCTCAACTCTTCAAGCAACCATTCTCATCCAAAGGCTAGTTGCCTTAAATAAGTTTATTTTCTCTGGGCATTTTTTTTTTTCTACCCAGAGAAATTAACTCAACATTGGTAACAGCTTTCCATTGTTAGGGAATGAATGAGCTGCTCATACCTTACAACATTCAAAGCCCACTTTTTTTTGGTCATATCGCTCTGCCCCAATAATTAAAAAAAGAAATTTTAAAAAATCACACAAAAGACTTTTAAAAAATTGTTTATTAGAGAGAGAGAGAGAGAGAGAGGAGGGAAAGAGGGAGGTAGAGAATTAATCCTAAATTGCTTGCCTCCAGGGGTGCCCTGACCTGGCATCTAAAACTTGGGTATGTACCCCAACCAATTTGCCTCAGTGGATAGAGCGTTGGTCTGCAGACTCAGGGGTCCCAGGTTCGATTCCGGTCAAGGGCATGTACCTTGGTTGCGGGCACATCCCCAGTGGGGGGTGTGCAGGAGGCAGCTGATTGGTGTTTCTCCCTCATTGATGTGTCTTAACTCTTCCTCCCTCTCCCTTCCTCTCTGAAAAAAATAAAATAATAATATATATTTTAAGGAGAATAAAATAAAAACTGGGTATGTGCCCTGACCAGGAACCAAAGCTGGGAGCTTCTAGTGCAAAGGACAATGAATGCTCCAACCACCTGAGCCAGGGCTTGCAACACTTTTATGAAAATTATGCTTTTTTATTATTAAACTTCCCCCCGCCCATTTACATTATTGACTTATTCATGGGAGTGTATCATAATGTTATATAAACCTCCAAACTTCTTTTGTTTAAAATATATTTTTATCGATTTCAAAAAGACAGAAACAGCAATGAGAGAGAATCATTGATGGGCTGCCTCTTGATACCCCTCCCACCCCCCACTAAGAATCAAGCCTATCACCCAGGCTTGTGCCCTTGAGCTGAATCGAACCCGTGACCCTTCAGTCCGCAGGACGATACTCTATCCACTGAGCCATACCAGCCAGGGCGGAATGTGCCTTTTTTCATCAGAACAAAACAACCACTGCTAACAGAGCACGATGAATATCTCTCACTATTATAGCTGGCCCTCAACATTCTATTTCTGCCCCTACCCATATTCCCTATGTTCCCTCTCCCCCGGCACTGACCCCTTCTGGTCCACCCCAGCTCCCCCCACACACTTTTTATTTTAATATATTTTATTTTAATTGACTTTTTTACAGAGAGGAATAGAGTTGGAAACGTCGATGAGAGAGAAACATCCCCATCAGCTGCCTCCTGCACACCCCCCCACCCCACCCCCGCTAGGGATGTGCTCACAACCAAGGTACGAGCCCTTGACCGGAATCGAACCTGGGACCTTTCAGTCCGCAGGCCGACGCTCTAGCCACTGACCCACACCGGCCAGGGCATCCCCCACACACTTCCTTTTATTTTTTTTACTTTTAATATATTTTATTGATTTTGTACAGAGAGAAAGGGAGAGGGATAGAGAGTTAGAAATATCGATGAGAGAGTCATCGATCAGCTGCCTCTTGCACACCCCCCACTGGGGATGTGCTCACAACCAAGGTCCATGCCCTTGACCGGAATCGAACCCGGGACCCTTCAGTCCCCAAGCCGACGCTCTATCCACCGAGCCAAACCGATTTCGGCCCACACTTTCTTTAAAAAAAACAAACCAAAAACTCCAGAGCCTGTGCGACAGGTGGAAACACTCGAGTTGTGGAGATGTGAGTGTCATCTCCCGCAAAATGGAAGACTCGGTCCTTGAGGCTGCGGGAGGCAGCCCGCCCGGCCGGAAGCCGCGGGAGCGGCGCGGAGCGGAGGCCCCGGAGCTCCCGGCGCCGCCCCGCCCGCGTCCCCGGGCCGCCGCCCCGCGCGGGGCCGGGCTCCGGGCCTTTCACCGCCGCGACCACCGCCCCCCTCCCTCCCCCATCCCTTTCCCACCGCCCCCCTCCCTCCCCCATCCCTTTCCCGCCCCAAAAGCCAACGAGGAACAGCAGCGGCCTCGAGCACAACCGGAAGTCCCTTCATGTCCGTCCATGTGTCCATTCCCCTCACATCCCGTCACGCCCCCTCGTCCTCGGCCTCCCGGACCGTTTTCCTCAGCCCCCTCGTTGGTTTTTATTTTTATTTTAATGCTTAATGTGCCCACTTTCTACCCAACGGAGTCATTCCGCTTTGAAAAGTGACACAAACAACCGGAGACGGAAAAAAACAAGCAAAAACACTGACCTGAGGTGCAGTCCCCTCGGCAGAGCGGAGTCCTGGAGTCCCGGTGTCCCAGGCGCCGGCGGAGAGCCCTCCGGTCCGTTTTGTGCCAGGAGCCCCGGGAGGGGATCCCCAGGGCCCGAGGAAACTGGGGGGACCCCCGGGGGGCCGGCACCCCGAGGGCGAAGCGGCTCCCTCAGGCGGCTCCGGCGCCCCGGCCTCTCCCTCTGGCGCGGTGCGCGGGCGGACACCTGCGCGGGCGGACACCTGCGCCGGCCCCGCCCACCGCCGCACGTGCGCGGTCACGCCCACTCGCCGCAGGTGCGCGAGGCCCGCCCTCGGGGGCGGGGCTGCGCCGGCGTCCAATCGGAAGTTAAAGAGCGGCCCCGCCCCGCCCACATCTCCGGTGCACCGAGGCGCCGGGCCCCGCAGGTGAGGCGGCTGGTGTGACCGCACTGCCCCCTGGTGGCGAGCGTGGCGAACAGCCTCGCCAGTTTCAGGGTTGATCTCGTTCACCTGGCTCATCTGCATCAAAAGGCCACCCTTTCCTCATCACAGACAACAAAACCTTAAGGGGGAGTGGGAAGGCTTTTTAAAAAAACAAACAAAAAATCCTTTTGTGCCCTGGCGGGTTTGGCTCAGTGGATAGAGCGGCAGCCTGTGGACTGAAGGGTCCTGGGTTTGATTCTGGTCAAGGGCATATGGGTTGCGGGTTCTGTCCCCAGTGGAGGGCGTGTGGGAGACAGCTGGTCAATGATTCTCTCTCCTTCTCCCTTCCTCTCTGTAATCAATAAATATATTTTAAAAAAAAACAACACAGACAAAACCGGTTTGGCTCAGTGGATAGCGTCAGCCTGCAGACTCGAGAGGCAGCCAACTGATGTTTCTATCACTTCCCCGACTCTGAAATCCAAAGGGCACCTTGTAGCCATGGCTGGTTTGGCTCAGAGGATAGTGTGGACTGAAGAGCCCCAGGTTTTATTCTGGTCAAGGAAACATGCCCAGGTTGCAGGCTTGGTCCCCGGGAGGGGAGAGGGGGGATGTGCAGGAGGCAGCCGATCAGTCTCTCTCATCACTGATGTTTCTATCTCTCGGTCTGTGAAATCAATAAAAAGAGAGCACCTGTCCATGCATGTACACATTCTCCTGAACCCTGAGAATTAGAAAAAACAAGTACATATAACAGAGAATATAAAGCAATTGGGGCAAAATGTAAACAACTGGAAGATCTAGGCAGAACATTTTGAGGCTTTGTACTGTTTTTGCAGCTTCTTCCCCCAAGTATGAAATTACAAGGCATTTTTAGAATGTCTGCTGCACCAATCTCACAGAAGCAGGTGTACAGGGGCCCCATGGACAGCCATGGGGCTGTCCATGGGGCCCCTGTACACCTGAGCTCACACTTCTGTGCAGACCACACACATGCACAGTGTGAACACACCATATCAGCACCAGCAGGAACACACAACTGAACAGCTCCTTCCCCACTGCTCAAGAGGGACGCCCAGCCCAGTGCTCTCCCCCCCCACACACACAGGTGAACCCACAGCCTCAGCAGACCCACCTGCCCAGAGGTCACAGCCCCCGACCCCCAGGACACAGCCAGTGCGCTCCCCCTTTCTCGATAAGGAACTCCTGCCCTTTGCTCCACCAGCACCCAAACCGACACACACACACGGGCAAAGTTGTCCAAGGTTTATTGAGAATATTACAGCATAGCAAAAGATTCAAACGGCTCCTCGCGGTGTTTTGAAATTCATCCCCACTGTGGGCTGAGTGACCTGCAGGTTGGAGAGACTGCCAAAGTCCTGGAACAACAAAATGGGTTGAGTGAGATCCGTGGTCATGGCTCCAGGACCACGGCCGAGCCTCTACCAGCTGGCAGAGGGACCTCGAAGAATTCCAGCAAAGGGCTTTCTCCTCCCCACCCCAGAATGGCCTCAAGGACCCTGCACTCCAACCGGAAGCTGCTAGTAAGCTGTCCCATGTGCTGTCAGATGCTTAGCAGCATCCCTGCCCTCTCTCTAGCCACTAGTGTCTGCTCGGATCCCCCAGCTGAGACAATGAAAAAATGTGTCCAGCCCGGCAGGTGTGGCTCAGTGGTTAAGCAATGACCTATGAACCAGGTCAGAACACATGCCCAGGTTGTGGGCTTGATCCCCAGCAGTGGGGCGTGCAGGAGGCTGCCGTTCGATGATGCTATCATCATTGATGTTTCTATTGCTCTCTCATTCTCCCTTCCTCAATAAAACTATCTTAAAAAGCCCTAACCTGTTTGGCTTAGCGGATAGATTGTCGGCCTGCGGACTCAAGAAGTCCCAGGTTCGATTCCGGTCAAGAGCATGTACCTTGGTTGCAGGCACATTCCCAGTGTGGGGTGTGCAGGAGGCAGCTGATCGATGTTTCTACTCTCTATCCTTCACCCTTTCTCTATGTAAAAAAAAAAATCAGTAAAATATACTTTTAAAAAAAGTGTCCAGACATTACCAAATGTCCTGGGGTAGAAATGGAGATATGTATCTCCCTTTTCAAATAATTTCTCTAGGCACACACAGCACCAGCCTGAGGCAGCCGCCTTGCAAATGGCAGGCCCTAAGCAATCAACAGCTCTGTAAAAAGTCCTAAGATCAGCCACAGCAGAGTCACTCATCAGCGGGTACTGAAGACAGCTAAGCTCTCTAAGTGCCCCGTAAATAAGCATCTGGAAATGAGACCATGGCTCACGCAAGTGGTCGGCATACAGACAAAGAAGGAATAAAATGGCGGTGGAGTCCAATGAGGGGGACAAAAGGCGACACTTGTAACACTTTCGACAATAAAGGTAATTTAAAAAAAAAAAAAAGAAATGAAAGCCCACATAATAAAAAGGACCAGCTGGAAGGAACCCCGGGAGCAAATGGGAGGAACCAGCTACAGACCCGAGGTCGGAAAATGGAGAGCAGAGACACCTGGAATTGTTCCAGACAGGAGGATGCTACCGGAAGCCCTATTTCAGGGGTTGCGCGCATGCTTACCAAGAGCTTCAGCATTTCCTTTGTGTCAGGATCAACCTCAATGATCTCCTGATCCAGGGCCGAGACCTAGAGGAACAGGAAGCCAGCAAATACCTGTCAGTGAGTTCTCTTTCCAGTCCTTTCCCCAAAATTCTTGCAACAAAAAAGAGGGGCAACTTGCAAAGGAGACAGGATCCCCACTAGGTGAGCAGTCGGCTTAAGGATCACAGACCCCAAAGATCACTTCTGGGTTCACCTTTGTGCGTGCCCTTCGTTATTCTGACTGGTATACGGGGAAACCTTTTAAGACTCTGTTCGTGTTTTGGGAAGATTTGTGCTAAGGCAAGTCACCAAACCACAAGCCCTGGCAAGGCAAGCAAACACGACGGAGAGCTCTCAGGTGAAAACCAGGATGGGCTTAAATGGCCCCAACAGCCCTGGCCGGTGTGGCTCAGTGGATAGAGCTTCAGGCTGAGGATCCAGGGTTCCATTCCGGTCAAGGGCACATGCCCGGGGTTGTGGACTCGGTGCCCAGGAGGGGGTGTGCAGGAGGCAGCAATCAATGATTCTCTCATCGTTGATGCTTCTCTCTCACCCTCTCTGGAATCAATTTTAAAATTTACCCCCCCCACCCCCCACAAAATGCCTCCAACAGGGCAGAACAGAGACTAACACCCATGCCAGGCAGGTTGCGGGCACCCGCAGCTGGGGTGAGGCTTTATGGGTAAAGGACCTCCTTCTTCAGCTCAGCTGAGGTCCCCAGAGAAACCAGGCACCTGCTTTGCATCTCAGCAGCAGCCCAGGCCCAGAGAAGGACTTACCTCGGGCACGTAGTTGTCTCTCCTCTCCCTCTCCTCCTCCTGCAGCTTGATGGAGATGCCTCTGACGGGGCCCCTCTGGATCCGCTTCATCAGGTGCGTGACATAGCTGCGGCACAGGCGCCCAGAAACACACTGAGAACGCCCGCGCACGCCGATCCGGACACACGAGCGGCAGGTTTAGTCCCGCTTCCTCCGTGGGGAGGAGAGAGGAACCCCGATTCCGAAGGCGACACACCCAGCGCCCACCTGCTCGCCTGTCACACCATCTATCCAATTCTGCATCGAATCCTCCCCCCAAACTCCCAAGGACCTCCTCCCAGGTCCTCATTTCCTCTCCTCCCAATGCACCGCAATGAATACTCAGTGCCCCCGAGGCCTGACCCGGGCCAGGTGTCCCCGCCAGGGATGACACAAACACGGCACGGTCCCAACTGGGGGGCTCCCTGCAAACGCTCACCCGCAGCGAGCGCCCTTCTCCGGGGTGTCGGGGCGCGGACGGGGGGGGGGGCTCGCGCGGACGGGAATCCCCAGGACACAGTCCCCCCATTCCTGGAGTCTCCCCGGGACAGATCTAGGCCCCGCGCCCCCAACCTCCCGCCAGGCCCCGGCGGGCCCCCTCACCCCGCGATCTTGTTCCGGAGCTTCTTGCTGGGGATGATGGCGATCTCCTCGCACACGCGCTTGTTGGTGTGGAAGTCGTTGCCCAGGCGCGTGTAGTATTTCTCGATGATGACCCGGGCCGCCTTCTTCACGGTCTTGGTGCGAACGCGGCCCTGCGGGGGGGAGAGACCGGGTCAGGAGCGCGGCCGCCCCGCCGGGGTCCGCGGGCCCGGGCCGCGCCCGGGAGGGAGGGAGGGAGGGGAGGGAGGGCAGGGGCGCAGCGGGGGCGCGGGGACCGACGCGGGAGCCACCCGCCCGCGGAGGCCCCGGCCTCACGGGTTCAGAAGCCGCGGATGGAGGTCGATTGCGGAAGATGACAGCTTCGGCCCAGAGCACCTACCATGGTGGCGGGTCCCTGGTGGTGAAAGAGGAAACAGGAAGCACAAGAGAGGCCTATAAGGCGCCGGCTAGACGGCCGCTTCCGCCCTCCCTGAACGAGGAGCCAGCACGAGGCCGGACGCCCCCTGGCGGCGCGGGGTGGGAGCGCAGGCGGCAGCCGCTGGCGGGCGGGTCTCTGGTTTCCCCGCCCCGCCCCGCCCCGCCCCGCCCCGCCCCGCCCCGCCCCGCCCCGCCCCGCTCCTTGGGAAGCCGTTCGAGGGCCTGGAAAGGTGAGGAAGGAAAGAGGGCGCCCTGCCAGGACCCCCAGCTGGTCCACGGGTCAGCGATGTGTCCAGCCAGCCTGTCGGGGGCCAGGTACACCCGGGACTAAGCTTATCTCATTTTCCCCAGCCTCTCTGCTCAAACATCCTTATATGGGAGGAGCTTTCCCTCCAACTTATATACCCTATTTCCCCGAAAATAAGACAGTGTCGTATATTAATTTATTCTCTCAAAGTTGCGCTAGGTCCTTTTTTTAAACAATTATTTAAGGTTATCTTTTTATTTATTTTTTAAATATATTTTTATTGATTTTTATAGAGGAAGGGAGATAAAAACATTGATGAGAATCATTGATCAGCTGCCTCCTGCACACCCCCTACTGAAGATATGCCCGCAACCAAGGTCCATGCCCTTGACCAGAATCGAACCCGGGACCTTTCAGTCTGCAGGCAGACGCTCTATCCACTGAGCCAAACCGGTTTCGGCTAGGTCTTATTTTCAGGGGATGTCTTATTTTCGGGGAAACACAGTAGCATCACTATCCATCCCCTTAAAGCTGCGCTCATGTTTCTTGCCATTGTCACAGCGATGTCCGAGTCTGCTGCATCAGGGGTGAGCTCCGTGGCCGCCAGGGCCCTTTGGTGTAGCTGCTCCCCGTGCCCGGAACAGTGCCCGGCATAAAGCAAGCTCTCGGATATGTAAGCCAAGGGCCCAGCTCACCTGCAATGCTCCCGACAACTGAGCCACCTCCTCCAACTACCACCTACTTTGGGCTGTTTCTGCCATAGCCATCCCAAAACCAGGCCCTCTCAACGCCAGTGCAGGCCGCCCTGGTGACCTCATTAGCCTAGGCCCAAGAACAGGAGTCCGTGCAACGTGTTTATTTTTTAAAAGTATATTTTATTGATTTTTTTTACCGAGAGGGAGAGGGATAGAAACATCAGTGAGAGAGAAACATCGATCAGCTGCCTCCTGCACACCTCCTACTGGGGATGTGCCCGCAACCAAGGTCCATGCCCTTGACCGGAATCGAACCTGGGACCCTTCAGTCCGCAGGCCGACGCTCTATCCACTGAGCCAAACTGGTCTCGGCTGCAACGCGTTTATGATGTGCCAAAAAAAAAAAAAAAAAAAAAGTTAAGGGGCATAGCGCTGGGCCTCATCAAACTCTACCCATCAGTCCGGTCACGCTGAATGGAAGGCTGTAGGCAGGAATCCCTCTCTGTGGAGGGGAATAAAGCCTGGCCAGTGTGGCCCGACAACTGAGCCACCTCCTCCAACTACCAGTGGCTAGAGCGCTGACCTATGAACACGCCCAACCCCAGTGGAGGGGGTGCGTGCAGCAGGCATAGGATCAGTGACCCTCTCTCTTCCTTGATGTTTCCACCTCCCTCTCCCTCTCCCTTCCTCTCTGAAATCGATACACAGATGGGCAGGGGAGCAGCAGATCCCTCCGAGAGTTGCAGGAACTTATTTTGCCAGCAAACTTCAAACCGAGCCGCTGCCATCCAGGCCTGGAGTGGGAGGGGAGGGCTCTGCTTGGCCGAGGGGCTCCCCAACCCTCGCGTGGGCTCCTGCACCAGCCGCAGGAGGGACGCTTCCTCAGAGGGTAGAGGGTTCAACGCGCCTCAAACTAAAAGGCTACCTTCCCAAGGCCCAGCCTGATGCAATCGGCAGACCCTCTCAGGTCCGGGAGCCTGCGAGGGCAGGGGCTGGCGACAGGCCCTCCGACAGGAGGACACGGGCTCACAGCAAAGGGAGACCAAAAGCTGCCGAGCAGCTGTGCCCCAGGTCCTCCCAGCTGGGTGTGTGGCCGAGAGAAGCCCTAGCTGCTTTTCACACGTGGCCCCGTGGTACCCACCGGCCAGAGGCCCCTCCACGGTGCCCTTGACCACGGAAAGTGACCAAGAATACTTAAAGGGCAGGCCCCTCCCCCCCCGTCCCACCACCCACCTGGGCTGGAAACATCCCTGAAAATCGGAGGAAATGCTTTTTGTGTGTGTTGTTTTTTATTCATTTCAGAGCGGAAGGGAGAGGGAAAAGGAGACAGAAAGATATATATAGAACATCAATGATGAGAGAGAAACAAGGACTGGATGCTCTGCACACCCCCCCATTGGGGATCAAGCCCACAACCCAGGCATGTGCCCTTGGCCGGAATCGAACCTGGGACCCTTAAGTCCTCAGGCTGACACTCTATCCACTGAACCAAATCGGCCAGGGCGGGAATGTGAGTATTTTTTGTTTTTGTTTTTTATTGATTTTTTTTTACAGAGAGAAGGGGAGAGGAATAGAGACTTAGAAACATTGATGAGAGAGAAGCATCTATTAGCCGCCTCCTGCACACTTCCCACGGGGGATGTGGCCACAACCAAGGTACATGCCCTTGGCCGGAATCGAACCTGGGACCCTTGAGTCCGCAGGCCGATGCTCTATCCACTGAGCAACACTGGCCAGGGCGGAAACGTGAGTGTTTCACTCTGAGATCTTACTCCCCCACTGCCCCCCAGCCCCCGCCCCTCCGTCACCGAGACAAGAACAAACCGGAGTCTGCTGCAACGTGTTTATTATTATGTGCCAAAAAAAACACCACCACAGCTGACTCCACACGTCTGGAGGAGAGTGCAGTCTTGCCTGCATATACTACAATGAGGTAGAGACTTCACACACAGCTTCACAAAACCCACAGAGTAGCTGAGATAGGCAGCAAGGCAAGGTCAAGGTCAGCTCAGCGGGGAGGGGGGGGAGGGGGAGACACTGGTTCTTTGGCACACAGCTTCCCAAAGAGGGGCAAGTCGATTTTTAAAAAAAAGAAAAAAAGAAAAAGTCAAGTTTTCAAATCTCAGTAGCATTTCCACCCACCACAAACAGTTGCTCCGTCCATTTCTCAAACCAAAGAAAACAAGGAAGGCAATGCTTGTCCCCTCTGAGAGAAAGGGCTCCTGTGAGCCTGCTTCTGCCCCCACCGAAAAGCAGCCCTTTGTAGCTCGATTACAAAACAGAAAGAAGTCCTGTGACTTTTGTGATTAAAAACGCCTATCAACCCTCCCCCCCAATAAGTGCAACTTAGAGAAGGTGCGATAACCTATATACAGCAGCTGCTCAAACACCTTTTCACCCGGTCCAGTTTGCAATTCAAAAACATTTTTTTTCCCCTTGGTTGCAATTTTTTTTTTTTCCTTTTCCCCTCTTCATTCACAACCGTGAGAAACAGTGACCGGCAGGTCCCCAGACACAAATCCGCTATCACGTTAAGAGCTGCCAGGAAAGGAAAAATAAAATTAAAAAAGAAAAACAACAACAACTACTCTTGGTTCCAAATGACTTAAAAAACTATCTTAAAGGAGTGTAAAAACGAACCGGTAAAAACCCTTGAGCGTAAAATAGGAGATATGATTTTGGTTTAAATGAAGAGCAAAGTCTTGTGGTTTACAGTAAAAAACGCCAGCTGAACACTCAGTTTATGCCGTTCAGTGGGGGGAAACCAATGGAAAGGCACTGTATGGCAACTGCAAGGATGAAACGCCGACGAGACCTGCGCATCACCACCATCAGTATTGCGAGGAATGTAAAAAAAACAAACCAAAAAAAGCGCTTTTAATAAATAAACCTCGATGTAGGCATCGTGTCGCTACCTTCCGGACACGTTCATTCTTTTTTTTTTTTTTTTTTTTTTTGCTTTTTCATCGGCAAAAGGAAGAACTAAAATCTGGGAAAACTACAGTCACTGGGAGGGTGGGCGGGGGGGGGGGGTCCTTGCCCCGGCCCCGCCCCTGAGAACAAACTGGACAGAACTCATTGTGCAGTAATTAGTGCAGAAACAAAGACAGACGCAGGGAGTGCAAAGGTGACTGCGGTCTCCCCTGGTCCGCAGGCAGGCAGCCGGCACCCCGGCCGCCAGGCGCGGCCGCTCCTCTAGCTGGCATCCCGGTTCTTCTGGTTCCGCATCAGCGGGCTGTGGTGGCGCAGGCCCTCGGCGCTGTGCCGCCAGTGCCAGCAGGTCCGGCAGAAGTACTTGAAGCACACCTACGGGGAGAGAGGGGGGCGGGGCTCTCCGGTGTCAGGAATGGGGAGACCCGGGGCCTCCGTGGTGCTGGGAGGGAGGGTCTCGGGGAACCTGGAACCCCTAAAACGGGCCTGATCGCTCCGGGAAACCTGCTATGTTCCTGCGGCTGCCCTGACTCCATCCAACACTCAGGCCTCCCACGGTGTCCGGCTTCCCTCACCTCGGTGGCCCCTCAGGCCCACCCCTCTCCCCCTGCAGGCTGCCCATGTGCAGGGACCGCTGAAGACAGTGACTCCAGGTCCCAGGGTAAAGGAAATGCTTCTTCAGCCAAGTGAGGGCAGGGGACTGCACCCTGGGCTCTGTCCCACCTCCTGCTGAGCTGTGTAACCTCTGACAAACCACCGACCTCGGAACTATTACCTAAAAATGGAGGCCCACCCCCCACCCCCAAAACCCGTGATGGAGGCTGATCAGAGAGATGCGCGTCCTCAGTCCAAGGCACTGCACACCCTCATCAGGGAGCCGTGGTTTAACCTCCGTCTGTCTGCCAGGGGCTCCGAGCCTGAGCAGCCACTGCAAACACCGGAGCGGACGCCCGGCCAGGCCCCCAGCTCCCGCCAGCACATCGCAGACCAGCTGCCCGGGCACCGCCTGGACGCTGGGCAGAAATGGGGGGTCTCGGGCCCCACCCCAAACCCGCCGAGTCACAATCTGTATTTAGACAAGGTCCTCAAACAATGTGCACACACATTCAAGTATGAGAAGCATTTCTGCTGAAACACCCCAGATGTGTGCACCGCCCCCCAGAAACCGTCAATGAGAAGCTGCTGTGCTGCCGTCTGCCGGTGTCTGACACCTGGGGTACAGACCGGGGGTAAACACCAAAGGGGTCCGCACAAAGGCCTGAGAACTGGGACAGCACTGCCTGGCTCACAGGTCCCGCTGACGGCCCACCCAGGCTCCTGTCACCCTCAGCACCCGCGATGACCAGCCGCAGGCCACATGCCAGCCGACATCGGGTAAAAGGAGAACTTGAACTTGAGAGCTTTCCCAAGAGTTTTGGGTCAAACCATCCCAGTGTGCCCCTGGCCTGACCACCAGCGCCGCCTCTGTGCTCAGACACCCCAACACTCTGTGTGGGAACCTGGTGAGGCTGTTTTTAACTAAGGGGGGACCTTCCTAGACACCCCCGGGGCCCAGGGGACGCACCTGATCTCGACAGAAGAAAGGGCCCGGCTGAGAGTTGCAGAAGTGGCACAGAGCGTCCTCCAGGTAGGGGTCGATCTGAACCTGCACAGAGCGAGATGGGAGAAGGAAGTAGCTGGGAGAGAGGGTGCACCACGGGGCGCTCCACGGGAATGCAGGGCACTTCCTGGGTGAAAGGGGTGGAGTGTGGAGACCCCAGGGGGCAGGTGAGCTCCCCACGCAGGGCTGGGCTGGCAGCCTCTGCAGTGTGGGGGACCACACACATTCCTGCCTGGTCCCCAGCACCCTGCGCCCCCCGTCTCCCACCCAGATCAGAAGGACACTGGGCAATGCCGCCCAGTAGCCCAGCCAGGGAAGGCCCCCCAGCAGCCACAGCCCCCTCTCCTGGGTCACCACAGCCAGGCTCCCCCCGGACCTGAACCCCGAGAGTCCCCGGGCATACCCAGCCCAGGACGGCTCCGTTTCAGCGGCCCGGGTGGTAACGGGCCCGGAGGAAGGGACAGGTCAGCCCTCACCTTCTTGGTGAACTTGGTGGTTTTGATCTCCACAAAGGCAGCGCTGACGGCCTTCAGGTAACTGCGCTGATTGCTGAAGGTCACGCGCCCGGAGCCTGTAGTGGGAACAGAACAAATGCCCCTTCTGAAGGCAGGAACGCCCGGCCCTCAGGCTGTGCAGCCAGAGAAGCTGTGGGGTCTGGCCCCGCCCAGGCACTGGGTGAGTTAACTGTTTGACCCATGACAGCAGGCTAACTTTTAAGCTGATAATTTGGCCAAATTCTCCCAAATGTCACTTGTCAACACTCAGGAAACCGTTTCTAGGCCAGTGATGTCCAATGGAAATGAGTTGTGAGCGACTGTTGTAATTTTAAGTGGGGGGTTGGTGGAATTAACTATTATATTTTATTTAACCCCATATACACAGAATCTTATCGTTCTAACGTGTGGCACTAGCAGCCACAGTCAGTGGGTGGCTAGTTCAGACCACAAGGGACCAGCCCCACAGGAACACGGGCTGGGGAGGGAGAGCTTCTGGTGTGGACAGGGCACAGGGAAGACCACAGGGCTCAGAGCAAAGCCAGGATTCAGAGAGAGCCCCTCCTGAAGGTGGGCCCCTGGCCATGCCCTCGTCCGAGGTCCCCGAGACCAGACAGGGAGCAGGGAGAGCCTCGTCCTGCCAAGGCCCCCCTCCGCTGGCACCGCAGGTGGCCACTCTGTCTGGGGTGCGGCACAGGTGGCCCCAATGCACACGGCTCCCTCCGACCAGGCGTGTGGGGAGAGGGTCAGCCACGTCCCCATCACCAAGTTCAGGCTCTGCTCCACCCCCAACCGGCCCCCCGAGATTCCTGTGCAGCGTCTGGAGGTGACCTGCCTGCTCAGAGGGGCTGACCGGATCCCAGGGGCTGGGCCAGACTGCCCTGCGCTGGGGTCACCCTCCAGTCTCCCTCCGGGCCCTGCCGCTGCCCAGGACTACTTAGTAAAGGAAGCCAGGCGAGTCCAGGAAAGACCTGGCCTCTTAGTGACCCAGGACTGTTGTCTGTCCCAAACCATTTGGCTCTGAGCGTCCCACCCACATTCCTCTCCCATTTTCACCTCCTAGGTCCCGGTCTCTGTGTTTCCCCCTTCACGAGGAGTGGGGGAGGCGGGGGAGGGTGGGTGCAGAGGGTGCTCAGCCAGAGAAAGGCGCTCTGCTGCTGGGGCACGTCCATCGGCAGGCAGCCCCGGGCCAGGCCTCGCTCTCGCCCCCACGGGAAGGATCAGGATCCTGGGTGACCTCCCGGGGCCGCACGCTTCCCCGCCCGGAAGCGGGCGCTCACCGATGGGGTACTTGTGCTTATCGGTGTCGATCCCCGCGTACACCACGCCTCCGAACAGGTCGTTGAGGATGGCCGCCAGGGCCTCGGCGTTGAGCATCCCGTGCAGGGCGCCCACGAACACCGTCCTGCGGGGGTCCAGTCTGTGGGACGGGTTCCGCAGGAAGTTGCTGTCAGCCAGGACCCAGGGGATCACCTGCACCTGGAAGAGCACGCAGAGGGGTGTCACGCCGGCGGGGAGCCGGGCCGGCTCCTGCGGAAGTGGGGAGGCATGGCCCCTGGCCTTGCTGGACCGGGCGTGAGGCACCCAGCCTCCCTCTCGCAGCCCAGCCAGTGCGGACGGTCACCAAGCCCCCGAGACCAAATGTGACAGCAAGGGGCCCAAGAGCAGCCACTCATCCTGGGGAGCAAGCGGAGCAGAACCAAACCGCCACCCGTGTGGTCCAACAGAGGGCAGTGGTCCCAGGAGCAGAAAGCGTTCACAGGGAGACCCAAGGACAGGAGCTGGGGGCAGAGGCTGGGCGCTTCAGGTATGCGATGGCCCTGGCCCGGGTGCCAGCGCCGTGGGCAGGAGCTGACCACGTGGCAGAGGCAGGCAGGGGTCTCTCACGGAGGCTTCCAGGGCAGACCAGCACCAGGGCAGGAGCTGACCACGCCTCTGCCTCGGACACAGCCTGGCAGGGCGGGCAGAGAACCGCAGTGAAGTGCAGACTCCAGTGTTCGAGAAGATTAATGTGTGAGGATCTAAAAGGCTGTCTCGGAGCAGGAAGAGATGAGGGGGAAACCAGCCAGAGGCAGAAGCGAAGGAGGCTCAGAGGACGGAGAGGCAGGCCTGCAGGGGCCCGGGGAGCCACGCCCAGGAGACCCGCCACAGAGCCCGGGGCTGGGCGTGTGGGACCGCCAGGAGGAGCCTGGCCAGGGTCCAGGCCTGGATGGCCTGCAAGAGAGGGCCTGGGAGAAGTTACCCAGAGCCAATTCCACTGGAGGTGCAAAAGCCCACTTTGCTTTATCCACTCCACGGGAGGTGCCACCAGCGTGGTCCACATGCCTAGGGCCACTGGGCTCTCCAAGCTTTTTCTTACACTAAACAGACGCCGAGGACCACGGGACATTCCCGAAGGAAGGCCCGGGGAGGCGGGCCAGGCAGGCAGGCGCCTGACGGAAAGAGCAGAGCCCCAAGGTGAGTCATGTATCTGACTCGGAAAGGAGGGAGGAGGGAGTCAGATGCTGACCACATGGGGGTGGGAAGGGACCTGAAGGCAGTAGAAGAGGCAGAGGACAGGGCAGCCCATGGTCAGCGCACCCAGACAGGGCTCAGTCACCGCAGGGCAGTGAGGGAAGGAGGGACAGGACAGAAGCGGCAGGGCACGGAGGGGGCGGAGGGGCCTGGGCACGGCTCCGCGGCCTGCCCCTGGGAAAACAGGACCGGCAGAGGAGCGTGCTCCCCACGTCCTACATACAACAGGGGGTCACTGCATGGGCCCCGGCAGGGAGAACGGAGAGGAGGGGGCGCTCTGGGTCACCGAGGGCAGCCAGAGGATGAACCTGCCCTGCGACTAAGACAAAAACGTGACTGGACACCAGGAAACAGCTATAAAAAAAGAGCCAGCTTCGTGAATGCCTTGTTTCTTTAGAATGTCTATATGGGAGAGGCCCGGTGCACAAAATTCATGCTCAGGGGAGGGGGGTTGTGGCCCGCAGCCCAGCCTGCACCCTCTCCAATCTGGGACTCCTCAATTTAGGGCAGTCGGACATCCCTCTCACTATCCAGGAATGTTGGCTCCCAACCACTCGCCTGCCTGCCTTCCTGATTGCCCCTAACTACCCTCTTCTGCAGGCCTGGTCACCCCTAACTGCCCTCCCCTCAGGCCTGGGTCCCCCCAATTGCCCTTCCCTGCAGGCCTGGGTCCCCCCTAACTTCCCTCCTCGGCTGGCCTGGTCACCCCTAACTGCCCTCCCTTGCAGGCCTGGTCCCTCCCAACTGCCCTTCCAATGTTCCAGAGATGCTAAACATCTAGCCCAATGTCACAGCAGGGACATGTCCTGGAACCAGAATTTTAATAACAGCCGACTGGTCCCTAAGCTCAACAGCCCCCTTGGAGATATGTGAGGTCGTGATGGGCCCTCGTGACCTAAAGGGCGTTCAGAAACCAGTGCTGTTTTCAAAAGTCTGTTTCTCAAACACTATCCGCCTGCTAGAGCCACTTGGGGAGCTCCCTGAGCTCCCCCCATACCAACGCAGGCTGGTACAGAAAGGGGGTGAGGAGAGAGATCCCCGTGGGGGGAACCCCACGCTAGCAAAGGGCAGGAGAGAAGCAGGGGCCCCGGTGGGCGTGGGCCGCAGACTTACCCACCACGGTCGGAAGGTGGCTGGGAGTCGGTTTGACCTCCATGGGCAGGAGACACACATACCAGGAAGACCCAAAGGTCACTTTCTTTCTTTCTTTCTTTTTTTTTTAATGGAATGGAGAGTGCTTTGCTGTCTCTGCTGTGAGGCAGGAGGAGCTTCTTGCCTCAGCCTGTCCTCCCGGCCCAGGGAAACCGGCCCCGAGGACGCGGTGCCGCTCACCTCCTTGCAGCGCATCCTGCGGCTGGACATTCTGAAGTAGAACTCGCTCAGGCCGTCGGGGCTCAGCGGGTCATGCGAGCAAGCCTGCAGCAAGGCCCGGACCGACTTCTCCACTTCGAACACCAGGTACACATACCCTGCTCCCGAGAGAGAAAGGGAGGGTTCAGGCACCCCTCAGCCCCTCCTCAGCCTCGGTTCTGCAGCTCTCCGTCCCAGGAGAGGTGGCCTCGTGCGTAGGACACAATCGCGTCCTGCTCCTGGGGAGTCTCGTTGACAGGAGCCCCTTGCTCTGCCTGAGCCCAGGCCGGGGGTAGACGGGGTGGTGGCGGGGACCTCCCCACCTGAGCTGGGGGAGGTCGGCAAGGCAGGACGGGACCTGTCATACAACACAGCCCTTAGCCCGACAGGAGCACGCGTTCCCGCCGGGGAGCTGGGGGAGCGGGGGCAGGGCTGCAGCCTGCCTCCCGGGCGGGGGCTGCTCTAGAAGCCCAGTTACCACTGGTCCAGGCCCCAGGGGCGTTGCCAGTGGAGACAGGGAGGGTGAAAATAGCACCTGCTCCTTTCTACAGGGAAGGGATCTCATTTCAACCAGCGAGGGACCGGAGGCTCGGGCGGGCCTCATTCCTGCCAACCCCAAAGGGAGCTCAGAATGAGGTTGGCGACAACGTAACGGGGCAGGGAGGGGGGGCAGACAATGGGGGGGGTGGCTTGTGAATGCCCTGCTCTGAGAGGGAAGCGGCTGGGGCCAGGTGGGGGAGGGCACGGGAAGTGTCACATGGGCGTGTCGGAGGTAGCTCCCCCTGCAGGTCAGTTCGGACAGACGGACCGTTAGCTCAGGAGGACAGAGGGGTGACCGTGCCAGTTGGGGAGCAGTGCTGACGGCAGAAAGCTGTGTGCTCCTGGTGCCTACGCCGCGGTCCCAGCATGCAGCAGTGACATCCCAGCATCCCTCAGTGCAAGTATGTGCCGGGGAGGAAAGAAAAAGCTCCTACCATGTCTGTTATTACCTTTAGGCATATTACCTTTGGGAGGACACCGGGGGTGCTTGCCATCCTTACCGGGCCACTCCACACTCAGAGAGCCAAACACACGGAAGGTGTTAATCAATCCAGCTGCGGAGAGAGAGGAGAGAGAGTGGTGGGCTGAGGCACACCCTCCCCCAGGGGCCCGGCTCTCCCAGGCTCATCCGGCCCCACAAACAACCCTGAGAGGACCCTGGTCTCTGAGGCAGGCAGAGGCCAACCGGAGCCTCTCCCTCTGAGCACCCCGAGCTCAGAGGCCAAGCCCAGCCTCCAGCCCCAGCACCATGCCCCTGAAGCAGGCGGCTGGAGGCAGCTCACCTTCCGTAATGTCCCAGGGGACGCCTCCCAGGAACACTTTGCAGCAGTAGACAGGGTTCTTATAGTTCCGTGGCGGGAGCTGGCCACTCCAGGTACAGGTAGCTTCATTCATAGCTTCGATGGGAGAGAGAGAAACGGGTCAGAGAATCCCTGCCCTGCCCTGGGGTGAAGGGGTCCAAGAAGAACTGGACAGGCCCCAGGTGCAGCCAGGCCTGGGCCAAGGAAACCAAGCCTCTTCATGTCCACTCAGGCGAGGACATGACACGAAGCCATTCCCTAAAAGGCCCGGGCCCGACAGCTGGGAGAGGGCGGGAAAACTGACCCCTCACCATGTCAGCCCGGCTCTGGGCACTGATTCTGCCTCCACGAAAACGGAGGGATGTGTAGGTAAAAACGGTCACAGCCCAAGCTGTTTTCAAACGGGTAAAGAGTAACTTAACCACAAGGCAGTTCTGTGTAGTCGCTGCTCACAATGCTCATTAAAGTAATGACCTGCATGTAAACAGAACCATCCTGTGTACGAGACCCCAGAGGCTGGCTGGTCCGCACGGGCCTGACCCCCACACGTCCACCCAAGAAACGTCTTCCTCTGCTTCCCCTGCCTTTGGCCTGACCTCACCCACCACGAAGTCCGGACCCTGCCAGGAAGCCCCCACTAGCAGCCCTACAAGACCAGAGTCCCAGCCGTTCCCACGCCAGACTAGTCTCCGCCTCCGCCCCACAGCTATCTGTGTGACGCCCCAACAAACACAGGGCCGGCCTTAGACAATGGACCCGGCCCTCAGCATCCAAGGGAGGCCAGCGACAGCCTGCCCCAGCCCGCTGTGACGTGTCTGTCGCCGGCTCAACGCGCCTTGGCTGCTCTTCTGTTCGCCCTACAGCTCCTGGGGGCTCCGTTCTTGGTCACCCACTCGGCCTTCTAGTAGTCTTTAACTCTGTTCCCACTCGGTCTGTGCTGCTCCGGATCCAGGAGTGACCCCGAGGGCGTGGCCAGGCCTTGCCCACCGCACTCCGCGCCGGAGCACCAAGGAAACCAAGCCTCCTGTCCACCCGGGCGATGACATGACATGAAGCCATTCCCTCAAGGCCCAGGCCCGACATGCCAGCAAGAAACGGGCAACCGTCAGCAATGGGGTGTGAGTAACAGAACTCGCTAGGACGGCCATGTCCAAACACATGGGACCATCCCTGCGTAGGAAACAGTGGCACTGGAGAAAGAGCAAAGACGGACGGCCGAAACCTCTCCACTACCAGGAGGAGAGCGGGCCCAGCTCTGCGAGCAGGAAGTCAGACACACTGCTGCCTCTGGAGACGCAGGGAAGGGAGACACTGAACGCGGCCCAGACAGCAGCTCAACACCTCCGAACTGGGGTCCTGGGTGCCTGACGCCTCGTAAACACTGACTGTGTGACTTCTGTAAACACTGACTGTGTGACCTCTGTAAATACTGACTGTGTGACCTCTGTAAACACCTACTGTGTGACTTCTGTAAACACTGACTGTGTGACCTCTGTAAACACCTACTGTGTGACTTCTGTAAACACTGACTGTGTGACCTCTGTAAACACTGACTGTGTGACCTCAGTAAACACTGACTGTGTGACCTCAGTAAACACTGACTGTGTGACCTCTGTAAACACCGACTGTGTGACTTCTGTAAACACCGACTGTGTGACCTCTGAGTACGGACGGGAGATGATGCACAGATGCAGTGCGTATTTCAGCTCAGGTCAAGGCCGGAGCTGAGGTCTGTGGAGACCAGGACACCTGGGGACACCCCTTACCTTAGAGGCCGCCCACCCCAGTGTCCCCCAGTTTCCCCATCAGAAAGCCTCGGGGAAGAAAGCCCTGCCTCTGAGTTAGGAAGGGGAAGGGAGACGAAGCCCTGAGCACCACGCCCGGGGGGTCCCGTGAGAGGATACACAGGGACGGCTGTGCACGGCCAGTCTCCAGGGAGAAACACGGGTAGAGGGACCCACTGATCATGCAGGTCACCGTCCCTTCCCGTCTGCCGGCGTGGCAGAACGCTGCCTGTCCCCTCAGCACCTACTCCGGAGGACAGACCGTGCTCTGCAGATCCGGGGACTTCACGCCGGGGCTGCCAAGTCCTCCTGCAGTCAGGTCCCTGCGGGGCCCAGGCCTGCACTCACCTGCCGCCTGCCGGTGCAGCCGGGCCTCTCTCTCGATGTTGAAGGGGTCTTTGGGGGCTTCCAGGAGGTCCCAGGAAGGCCACACAGAAGCTCCGGGCCATCTCTTCGACGCACTGGTTGGGGAGGGGGTGATGGCGGCGGCAGCGGCAGCGGCAGCAGCAGCGAGAGCAGCTTGCTCTGGGTCCATCTGGGACCCAACCCCCATCTTTAAGGAATCTCTGGGGCCACTCCCTGTCAGAGACAGGAAGGGCAGAGGGGAGGAGATGCGGAGGCTTGACTGGGGGAGGAAAAGGGAGACAGGTTTTCAGAGGACGGTCTGGTTTGAAGAGGAATCACTGCACTGCAGAAATTATGAAAAATAGCATTAAGCATTGGGTCTCTGCTTTCTTCCAGACTTTCTCCCTAAGCATTTTCTTAAAATATATTTTATTGATTTTTTTACAGAGAGGAAGGGAAAGAGATAATTAGAAACATCGATGAGAGAGAAACATCAATCAGCCGCCTCCTGCACGCCTCCTACTGGGGATGTGCCCGCAACCAAGGTCTACGCCCTTGACCGAAATCGAACCTGGGACCCTTCAGTCCACAGGCCAATGCTCTATCCACTGAGCCAAACCAGTTAAGGCCCTAAGCATTTTAAAGATGAGTTGTCCTACCCTAATTTAAACCAATTCTTTTGTCCCCAAGTCAACGTTTTTTTTTTTTTTTCATTTTGCCAATATTCGTAAACATTTTTAATTAATTTACGTTATTCTATTTAGGGAACAAGCTCCATTTCCCTGACCTATTGCCCCACTGATGAACCTTCAAATACTCCCGCAGTCTTCAGGGCTATAAATAAGCACTTTAAGATGTAGCTTCATATCTTGTGTTTTCTTTGGTCAGATTCCTAGCTCTAGAATCAACATGCTTTCTATTGGGGGGGGGGGGGAGGGAAGAGGGTTCCATAGAAATATGTAAGAATGCGGGTTTTACTCTAAGTTTGTGCCAAAGCTTTAAATTCTACTGGTTTCAGTGGGTAAAATAATATCACATTATCATAAAAACAAACTAATCACTCAACAGAGTATGTTCTAAAAGTTCAAAATACTGCCTCTATTCCCTCCACTGTGAGGAGAGAGGTATCTGGGGACGTTCTATTTTTTTTTAATTTTTATGTTTTTATTGACTTTTAGAGAGAGAGGAAGGGAGAAGGAAAGAGAGATAGAAACGTTGATCAGAGAGGATCATCATCGATTGACCGCCTCCTGGATGTCCCCTACCGGGAATCGAGCCCAAAACTTGGGAATGTGCGCTGATCGGGAATTAAACAGTGACCTTCTGGTTCATGGCTTGATGCTCAACCACTGAGCCACACGGGCCAGGCCTGAGGAAATTCTTTCAACAAAACCCAAATGATTAAAGCTTGATGAGGCAAGTTTCCATCTAAAGGCCATAACTAGAAGCACGTCATCTCACCCCATTTACAGGAGGAAACTGCGGCCCGGGGAGCAGAGCTCACTGTGGGGCCCCCCTGGGAGCAGCCTGAACCAAGGTGAGGGAGCAGGAGCGCCAGCTCATGCTCTAGGTGAGCGGACAGGAGGCCAGGTGGGTGCTAACGGCCGGGCTATGAATGGGAAACTATCCACAGCCAGGGTGACCAGTCCCGGGGGTGGAAGGGAAGAGGTAGGAAGCCAGCCTTCCGTTCACCGACCAGCCAGTGAAGGGGCCCAGAGGCCGGGATGAGGAGGCCGCATGCAGTGTGTTCCTCACCTAACCCACCCCAGCTCCACGCAACCTGGGCGCCCTGAGGAGCCGGGGGCCACATGAGCGCTGGGCAGCACTTCTGAGGTGCACAGCGGCCCCCGACGGAGAGCCGACATGGCTCAGGAAAGGATTTAGGAGCCGGGCGGTCAGGTCTGGGTTAAAACCCTGGCCCTGCCGGTGACGGGCACACCCAGGCGGAGCGGCGGGTCTGGCTACAGACACTGCAAGAAAGCGAGCCATCCCCTCTGTGGCTGGTAAAGGGTCTTGCCTTTGTTTGTCAATAATTGCAAGCCCGGGGTAGCGCAGTAAAACAGGGCCTGCCCATCATTTTAAAAGCCACCACGTAAGAATTCTGAGCTGTCATACATAAAGGCACATACATGACACTGAGTGAAGGCCAAAGAAGACCCCGTGTCGGCCAGGAAACAGAGCTCGGCCAGGAGAAATGCATCACCCAGTGGTGGGGTATAGGGCACCCCCTATTCTGTCGAGGACGAAAGCTCTGTGTGTGCCCACAATGGCCTCCACACCTCCCAGCATCCTAGTGGGCACGTGCCCCCTGCCAGGCACGCTGGCCCTCCCATCCCACCCCCCGACAAGCGACATACAATCAAGTCTGAGAAGTGATCTGATCCAGAGCTGAAGCCACTGGTGTCCGAGTCCGAGGGGCTGCAGGAGCGGGAGTCCAAGATGGGCCGTGTGTCCATGCGGGCGCCTCTGACCGAGGGCGCCGGGAACTTGTCCACGTCGCATCCAAGGGGGTCCAGTGGCAGGAAGCTCAGGGGGGGCTTCCCCAGGACACTGCCCAGTGGGTTGTGGAGCATGCTCAGTACTAGGAAGAAAAAATAAAGGTGGTCCTGTAACTTCGTTTTCTTCCCTCCCTTCTCCTCCCACAGCCACACAACGGGACACGCTGAGGCACAACCAGTTGGCGTGTCCCGAGCAGACACACGTCCAGTACCGACACTGGCCACGCAGGGCCGGGGAGAGGCAGGTACAGGGCAGCTCTGTGAAGCCCGGAGGTCCTGCTGCCTCAAAGCAACAAAACTCCAGCTCCTGCCTGACCGGCGGGGCTCAGTGGTGGAGCGTCAACCTATGAACCAGGAGGTCACGGTTCGATTCCAGTCAGGACACATGCCGGGTTGCGGGTTTGATCCCCAGTAGGGGGCGTGCAGGAGACAGCTGATCGATGATTCTCTTAACATCACTGATGTTTCTGTCTCCCTCTTCCTCCCTCTCTGAAAGTAATAAAAATATATTTTTTAAAAGACTAATAACAACAAAGCTCAAGCAATCTGATACTTAGGCTTAAGAGGTCAGTACCAGCATTTGGGGAACTCTGTGGCACTGGAGATCCTGGTCATAGCTATTTTTAAAAAATATATCTTTATTGATTTCAGAGAGGAAGGTTAGAGAGGTAGGAAGAAGGATAGAGAAATAGAAACATAAATGATAACAGAGAATCATTAATTGGCTGCCTCCTGCACGCCCCACACCATGGATCGAGCTCACAGCCTGGTCATGTGCCCTGATCGGGAATGAACTGTGACCTCCTGGTTCATAGGTCAATGCTCAACCACTAAGCCACGCCGGCTGAGCCATACCTGCTATTAGTGCACATGCCCACGTAGCCAAGGAGACCCCTTCAGCGCACACCATGCTCCTCCCTACCCCGACACCCCACAGCTGGAGAGAGAACTGGGGCCACACCCCGAGGCCTAGGACAGTGTGAGCAGGCCTCTCCTCCGAGCGCTTCTGAGCAAGGGGCCAGCAAACGCGGGCTCTCTGCGCTGCACCCCCAATGCCAGGCATTTGGGATGGAAGCAGAGTGACATTCTGGCCACGCCTGCTCTGGCTGAGTCATCCCCGGGCGCAGCCCTCAGTCAGCTCTCCTCCGTGTGGCCATGTGCTCTGGGAGGCTCTGCACGTCTCTGCTCATCATGCACCTTGGGGGATGCCAACCCCTTCACGCCACTGCTGGGAAAGCGGTCAGCACACAGGCAATGTTTACACATGAAATCGTCAAGAGAGCAGCGCAGAGCCCAGCAAAGACAAGGGAGCACCCGCCAGAGACCAAGGAGGCGGAGGGCAATGGTTAGCCCTAGAAGAGGCGGCAGAGGGAAGGAGCACCCCCAGTCCTCAAGGGAAGCCCAGCACGGACCAGCCGCACGACAGCCCCCCGGCAACAGCCCAAAGGGAGTATGGGCCACAGCTAGGTGTTCACCCAAGGTTTTAAGGAGAGTGTTTCTATCTCTCTATCCCTTTCCCCCCTCTCTCTCTCTCTCTCTCTCTCTCTCTCTCTCTCTCTCTCTCTCTCTCAAACAAGTCAATAAAAACGTATTAAAAAAAAAAGTGTGTTTGAAAGAATCCAAAAGCAACAGGGACCCCTTCGCTCATGAATCCATCTGCGTTCACTACCGTGTTGGTACATCTGTGCTACCAGGCACAATTCTATGTAACCTGCAAGTTTTTTTAAATTATTATTATTAATTTTTTTTTTCAATGTCCACCAAGAAATGCTGAGGCTTTGTCAGATTCCTGTGAAAGCTAGGAAGGATCCCTACCATCTCCTCTTATCTGAAAAGCCTGTCTGAACAGCAAAGGGCAGGACAGGCCCCTGGCTGGTAGTCATCAGCCTAGGAACATCCCCTGCGGTGCTCACCATCCCCGGCCAGTCCCCTGCTCTCTCTGGACCAGGCTCAGCCACGCGCCTACCGTTTGCTGCTCACCCAGCACGTGCCAGACACCGTGAGCAGGGAGCACTTCTGGAAAATAACCTCCGCGGAGCCCTAAGCAGTGGGCATTGTTCCCCCGCCTTAACAAAAGGAAGCCCACACAAAGGGCAGCGTTTGTGTCGGTAACAGCCAGCGAGGGAGCGAGGGGCTGGCTTCTCTCCGACTCCGGGCTGTCATTTCTGGATCGCACCTCTACTAGCAACTTCAAAAAAAAAAAAAAAAAAAAAAAAAGCCCAGAACTTGCATCTCGTCTTCATGGTCCCGACACCTCTCTTTTGTTCAAATTCCTTGACGACCATCAACTATAGATGAGAGATCTCACCCACCGGAGGTCAGTGTCCTGGGACCTATGTCATCCGGGTCTGAAACCTCCTCCAGGGCTGGCCACTGCAGGAACCTATTCACAGTGCCTCTCGGGCCCACCCAGACCTTCTGGACCAGACCCTGCATCTTAACAGGATCCCCGGGGGTGTGCGCACCTTAATGCTGAGCAGCGCTGATGCAGACCTACGCTGAGGTTCTCATCAGCTCCCTTCGCCACACCCGGAAACCGTCAGCACCGAGTTCTTCCCCTTGACTTAGGACTGCGGGTTATTTAGATGCGGCTCTCACAGCCCAATGCCAGCGAATGCCCGAGAGAGGAGAGAAACCAATGTGGCTGCGTGGGGGCATTTCCCAAGGCATGTGATCTCTGGGAACCCTGGGCAGGGTTCGGGTAGAGAAGAGAGGAAGAGACGAAGTCACCAGGAATAACTGAAGAATATAAGAAAGCCGTAATAATGATTTCAGGAAAGCGACGGCCAGAACAAGCTGAACTTTGTAAGATACACGCAAGGCAAGCAAAATCGTCTGTAAGCTCACAGGGAGCGAAAACCAAGAGAGCAACAAAGTCACCGATCATACGAGATGCCCATTAAAGCGACAATGCAGTGCCACCTCACACCTGTCAGAATGGCCACCATCAACAAACCAACAAATGCCACGTGCTGGGAGGATGCGGAGGAAAAGGAGCCCTCGTGCACTGCTGCTGGGAGTGCAGACTGGCGCAACCACTGTGGAAGGCAGTATGGAGTCTCCTCAAAAATCTAAAAATGAAACTCCCATTTGTCTCAGTGATCCCACTTCTAGGAATATATCCTAAGAAGTCTGAAAACACCCATCAGAATGGATATATGCACCCTGGTGTTCATCACAGTGCAATGTGCAATAGCTCAGACTTGGCAATGGCCCAGTGCCCATGAGCAGATGAGTGGATAAAAGACGGAACGCTACGCAGAGGTACGAAAGGAACTCTGACTTTTTGCAGCAGCAGGGAGTGACCGTGCCAAGCGAAACAAGCCAGTCAGAGAAAGACAAGGATCACATGATCTCACTCATATGTGGATTCTAAGTAACAAAACAAACTGATGACTAAAATAGATCCAGAGACACAGAAGCATGTAACAATTTCAGGGGGAAAGCAAGGGTGTGTGTGTTGGGTGCTCAGGGGAGTGGACGGGAGAGATTAACCATGAAACTTACACACACACTAGAGGCCCCGGTGTATGAATCCGTGCATGGGTGGAGTCCCTTGGGGTGGCCTGCAGGGACTGGGCCCCAGCTTGCACCTGCCCGGCCTGGTGCCACCCGCTCACCTGCGCCACCATCCCACCATGGTCCCGCTCTCCTCAGGGCCCACGTGGGCGGGCAGCGCCTCCACTGCCGCCTGCTGCCAGCGACGCCTCGCCCACGCCTGCCATGTTCCACGACAGCCGTGGTGGTCAGCGTGCGTCAGAGCAAGCGAACTCCCGGTCACTCTCCTGGGTGAATGGTCGCCCGAGGGGACAATCGGCATATTAGGCTTTTATTACGTAGGAGGCTATGCATCGCCCAGGACACAGACAACAGTGTGGTGAAGGCTGGGGAGGGGCCAGGGCATGGTGGAGGTGGTCAGTGGGAAAACACACACACACACACACACACACACACACACACACACACACACACAAAAGGGAGGGGGGGCATCTGTAATACTTTCAACAACAAAAATTAAAAACAAAACAAAAGACAAACAAACCAAGGGAGCAAAAACGGAGGGGGCTGGGGCAGGCCCTTGCACAGAGAAAGGTGCTGTGAAGGACATTGCTGGGCCCCCGGACAAAAGCGGAGACGAGCAGCAGTTTAATGAGGGTGCTGTCTCAGTTTTACATTGGCTGCAGTTGATAGCTGTTTCGCTATGTTCTTAATGGTTCAGAACTCACACACATAGACACACAGAGAGAACGTGCGAGGGATACAGCAAAGGAGGTAAACATAAATGATAAATCTGAAATTATTTCCAAAGTTTTTTTAAATGACAGGAAGGAAAACTAATTGGTTCCTACTCGACTTTCTTTGCCTTTCTGGAGGCAGCCGGTCTAACCAGAGTGTGAGTGAGAGGGACTAGAACCCCCTCTAACCTAGAAGAAGAAATAATCTCCTTTTGCCAAAACCGGTTTGCCTCAGTGCATAGAGCGTTGGCCTGTGGACTGAAAGGTCCCAGGTTCGATTCCAGTCAAGGGCATGTACCTTGGTTTCGGGCACATCCCCAGTGAGGGGTGTGCAGGAGGCAGCTGATCGATGTTTCTCTTTCTATTCCTCTCTCTTCCTTTCTGTAAAAAATCAATAAAATATATTTTAAAAAGAGAAAAGAAATAATCTTAAAAAACAAACAAACAAACAAAAAAACAGCAACAAACCCTTAAATGTGTTTGCACAGAAACCTACAGGCTCATGGGGGAAGTTCTGCCTTCTGGACCGAGCACACCGATGGCAGCCCACACCCACCACCCAGGGAACACAGGGCAGGCTGTGCTGAGTGTGCCTCCAGGGACCGTCCCAATGCCTGAATGGGGACACACCTTCCAATCTGGGTGACCCAATTTAAGGACACAATGCTGACTTAGCTGCAATTCAGAATGGGGGGGAACCTCAGTTTATCCCTACCCAGCCCATCACCAAGACTGACAGAAGTACAATTACTTGCCACCCCAAATGTGTGACAGTGCTTACTTCAAAGAGGACTGAACACTATTGATAGATCTGGGCTGAGTCACTTCCCGGCCCAATCCCCCCTGAA